GGGTTGTCTAGAATATTCCGTGGTCGCCATCTATACTCTAGTAGATGACTACATCTCCAAATTGTCGGACAAGGTTATAGTATCTTTCATCCTACATCACCGATTCATCATCACCTATCCATCACCTAATTATCATCACCTTCCTATCATCACCTATCTCTCATCATTTTATTTCATCACACACCAACTATTTCATCTACCCATGTTTTATCCCAACGTATTTGTAGATATAAAATAAATATATATTTAAATCATTTAAAACATGTATAAAATCATTCATCCATCATAGACAGCAAGTATTCAGATAATATGCACACATAGCACGTAATTTATATAAAATACTGCATATCTATGTGTAAGATGAAAGGGACCATGCACTCACTTGAAAAGGCGGTGAATCCGAACTCAGACAGCGCTTCGCTTCTTAAAAATAATTTCCTTCGACGAAACTTAGTATTATTACCACTAGAGTTTAGTATATTATTCGCCGAGACTAATTAATAGTCTAGCTATTATTACTATTATATAAGCGTTAAACAATACTTATATAACCCATAATAATATCCCAAGTACTTATTATAAGTTCCTAATAACGCTACTATAATTAAATAAACGATATATATTAAAAATAGCGTAGGCGTAGCTCACTTACAGCGGGTTTTATAGAAAACCGGGATTTGCTTGGAGCAGCGTTCCCGAGCCGAAAAGCTCTTCTTCTCGGAGCCGTCGAGCACTCCGGGGCTTCCGCCTCGTGCTGGGGAGGTTCCCTAGGCTTTTCGGGGGGTTTGGGGGGTTAGAGAGAGAAACTAGTGAGAGAAATAAGGAATGGGAAATGTGTGAAGAAAATGAGGGTGGGAGAGGTTCTATTTATAGGGTGAAAAATGGCTGAACTTGGTGTCACATGTCACCATCTAGTGGCAAGACTTGGGGAGAAAGCAATGACCAAGATTGTGCCACATCACCCATTTCCGCACAGCACACTTCCGACTTCTAAAATCCGTAACTTTCACATACGACCTCCGTTTTTGACGTTCTTTATATCCACGCGTAGGTAAAAATAAGATCTACAACTTTCATTTTGACTCCGTCGGCTAATTCTTGACCGATCTTAAATTTAACAGTACGAGGAGATTATACTGTTAAATGTCCGCGTAAAATTCATAACTTCTACATACGGACTCTGTTTTCGTCTGTCTTTTTACCGTTGAGTTCCTATTAATGAGATCTTCAATTCTCATTTAAGTCGCGTAGGCCAAAAACCGCTCAATCTAAAATTCGAGTTTCGGGTCGTGCACTGCTATGCCAAATCTTAGAAAATTCGTAACTTCCTCATACGAAGTCAGATTTGGGCGTTCTTTTTTTGTATGTTCTCAGTTTAACGTAAACTACAAATTTTGTTTAGATTTCTAAGGCTAAAAAGTCATTTATCAAAAATTCACTATTTACGTCTCCCGGTGCCGTGCCGGTTTTGCCGTAAAACTTCGACGGGCCATAACTTCTTCGTTATAACTCGGATTTCGGCGTTCTTCATATGTACGGAACCCTTGAGACATATTCTACAACTTGGTTAAGATTATTTATTCTAAATAATCTTTTGTCGAAAAGTCATTTTCGACCCCTATTATCTTTAAATTGACTAGCCCGGATCTGCGGACGTTACAGGTGATCTCCGTCACCGATTCCCCATCCTGTCTCAAACTCAGAAACTCCTGTGCCAACCGATCCCGCTCAACCCGCAGAATGTAACGGGCGCGGAACATGTCCCTGAACTGCTCCCAAGTAACAGCAGCTCTCTGATCATCAGTATACGACCTAGTCGCAAGTCTCCACCAGTCCTTGGCCCCAGACCTAAGCAGGTTCAGAGCACACCTGACCTTTTGGTCAGCAGGACACGAGCAGGTGAAGAAACACCCCTCCACATCTGAAATCCATCTTATAGCCTTGATGGGATCCTGTGTCCCATCAAAAGTAGGGGGCTTCGTGTTATCGAAGTCCCTATACTGAAAACCTCTACCAACTCCTCCCCCTGCCGCTGATACAGCTGATGCAGCTGCTGCGGCGGTTGTCTCTGCAAGGGCTGCGTAGTGCTCGTCAAAATACTCCACCATGGCGGTCTTAATCGACCCGAACATCTCCGGTAACTGAGCACGGAATGCAGCAGCAACCTCGTCATGCAGGATCTCTCGAGTCCTGGCATCCAACTCCTCTGTACCCATCTGCACCACCGGCTCAGGTGCTGTCGGCCCCTCCTGGCCTCTGTCCCTTGATCCTGATCCCGAACCGGATCCATCCACAAAGCGCCTCGTCATCACCATTCTGAAACATACCACAAGTTATCAGATAATCCATATAAATAACTGGGAGCCAACTCCCTACTAACCCTAGGGATTGTGACTTACTTGACACGCGTATGGGTCCTGTGCTTTCAGTAGTACAGGCCCATACTACCTTCCACACCTACCCATATTTGTCTCAAGCATCATCACAATGCCCTAACTGAATACACAACATGGCGAGCGCTCAACCCTCACCCTATAGGAATGATAAACATCTCATAACTGGCCTCCCGGCCTCACTCAACCCACCTACCCATGAAACTTCCACCAACCCTGTAACACTAGTGTATGCTAGCCATAAATAACGCTGGACCCTATAGACTTTCGAATATCTAATCCTACCCTAAGCTCTCAATCAAACAAGAACAGAACATAAGGCCAAATCAAACATTCTCAGGCTATAAGATCTTAATTATGTATAACGGTGATGCATACACTAAGCAACTACAGTAATGATGTCAATTTCATATAAAGGAAACCCTAGGCTAGCAGGCATCATGAAATCAGACAATTCTATCATGCAATTTCTGAAGATCCCTAGCCTAGTACTAACATGTTGTTCTAACATATCACATAATCAAATAACTTGTATGGTATTTTGGGGTCTACTTACTGGCTCCGGCTGATCGTACACCCTGCATCCTCCTTTATTTATTTTGAAAACCATTTTAGAAATTATTTTCAAAACCTTTCCTTGATTTGAGACTGGATTCACACGAATGTTCCTCCAATTCACTCAAACCAAGACTCTGATACCAACTTGTAACATCCAAAAATTTCAAGCAAATTTAAACTTTTAAAAACACCTCAAGTTCGTCAAACATTACAACTTTGTTTTCAATATATTATTTATCAGAGTATATCCCAGAAACAAAACATAAAGTGAGGAGCTGTACGATCATGCCTTCGCCTTGCCGCGATCCCCTGATGTACCTGAAACAATAAACTGAAACTGTAAGCCCGAGAGCTTAGTGAGTTCCCCCAAAATACTGATACACATACAGTCCACATAACCATGTCAGCATTATCATATCATAACCACTAAACAGAACAGCATATAACGGGTCCACAGCCCTACATACTGTAATACCCACGAGCCCATAGTACGAGTCTCCCTTAGCCCGTAACTGGAATGCTCCCGAGCCCACAATACGAGTCTCCCTTAGCCCGTAACTGGAATGCTCCTAGGGTTTGTTGGCTACCGCACGAAGCAGTACAACCTCAACCCATCCCATATAACAAACACATAACATAACCACTGAGCATGCAATAATCACATAACATCACAGGTAGTCCTACAGATCTACCTAACTTGTCATAACACTAGCATGCAACACTAACTCGTACTCAACCTCTAACACTTCTAGGATAATGTATCCAATGGCCGGCCTTGGTGCATTAGACCCCTTAGTATAGTGAGGATAACTCACCTTGCAACTGTCGTCTGAAACTAGAAAGCTCAACTCACGGATCACCAACACGAACTCCACCACCTATAGTTACCATAAAACCCTTTTCATAAATCTCTAAATTACCAGAATACCCTCAGAAGTCAACTGGTCAACCCTTGGTCCAAGTCAAAGTCCACAGTCAAAGTCAACAGTCCATGTTGACTCGACTCGTTGAGTGCAGTTCACCGACTCGTCGAGTCCTTCCTGAACTCGAGAAGTCGTGAAATCCTTGATTGGCTCGTCGAGTTCCCTTTTAACTCGCCGAGTTCATACGTGTCCAAGAATTGGGAGAACCCTAGCCGACTCGCCGAGTCTTCGAACGACTCGCCGAGTTCAAGGCAATCTTCAACGGACTCGCCGAGTTGTTCATCAACTCGTCGAGTTCATGGCCATCTTCAACGGGCTCGCTGAGTTGTTCATCCAACTCGCCGAGTCCTTGCAGACCTTTATCCATGCAGACGCTTTTTAAGCCATGACAAGGTTCCAGATTACAGATCCAAGCTTCTAGGGCATGTTAATCACGTAAAGTCGCAAACTTTACGTGCATGCAAAGCTTTAAGACTCTTAAATGGCCAAACTAAGCTTGCAATGAAGTCTCACACTTGAGGGAAGGCTCCTACTAGGCAAGGCCGATGACTTTATGGATCTAGAGGTCAAAGGGAGTCCAGATCTGAAGTTACAACTTCAGATCTTAGCTTAAACATGGGGAGCCTTTCATAAAACCCATCCAAAAGAGGTTAAAAGCGAGATGAGCTAAAGGAACAGCTTAATACCTTCCAGAGAGTGACAACTGATGAATCTCTTAGCTCCCCACGAGTTCCTAGCCTTGATTTCCTTGCTTCCCCAAGTGTTTCCTTCTCCAAAGTTCCTCCTCCAAGCTTGAACACACACACACACACACGATTTAGGGTTTGAGAGGGACAAGAAGCAGTAAAGGGGAGGCTGGGGGGGGGGGGCAATGATCCTTTAAATAGGGTGCAAAACCTCGAGATTTAGGGTTTCATCTGCCAGCTCCTACTCGTCGAGCCCCTTCTTGGACTCGACGAGTAGGTCATTAAAATACGTGGACCAACCCGCTGCTACTCGACGAGTAGGGCAATCAACTCGTCGAGTAGCCCTTGAAATCAAGAATTCACACATTAAATCAATACCTGAGAATCGGGGCGTTACAGAACACAAGGCATACTATAAGCAGGGCAGGTGTTCAACGCAGATGTACAATTTTTGTAATGAAACTGGACACAACAAAGCTACATGTCCAATGTGGGGTCCTTCTGAAGTAGGTCCAAGTAAAGCAAGAAAGAAGAGTAATGCAAGAAACTGTCCTTCACAAGCAGGTCCAAGCACTCCAGCTCCAAGTGCTCCAACACATGTCAATCAAGATCCTTTGACTCAAGACCATGTCCCTGTGAATCAAGAGCCTGTCATTCAAGTGAATGTCCCTGTGAATCAAGAGCCTGTCATTCAAGTGAATGTCCCAGTGAATCAAGAGCATGTGAATGACGAACCTGTGAATCTAGAGAATGTGGATGAAGTTCCTGTCAACCAAGATCATGTGAATGAAGTTCCTGTGCATGAAGATCCTGTGAATGAAGTACCTATCAACCAAGATCTTGTGATTCCAGTACCTGTTAACCAAGTGCCTGTGAATCTTGGTGTTAGAGTGCCTAAGAGACTTGGTGTTAGAGCAAGGAAGCCTTCAGAGAGAATCAACAAGATACAAATCAGGAAGCAGGTTTTCCGAAAGGATGGCAAAGGAGTGACTGAGGACAACCCAATTACTTTAGATTTAGACTGATTAGGGTTACTTGTTTTCTTTTACTTTGGAAGTATGTAATAGTACACTGTGTATGGTGACTTTCTTTTGTTAATTGGGCCAACTTTTGATGTAATTGACAGTACTACCCTTGCTTGTAACCTAGCAACTTTTTATGGTCTTTAAGTAATGGAATCAGATATGATATCCTATGTCAATTGTGTTTTGTCTTTTTCAATCTTTATTGGTATTAATGCATTAGTTTATTAAGAAGGTCATAATGGGAATCATATGTCAATTGTCTATTGGGAATCATATTCCCTATTTGTTTCTATCAATGTCCTTTGTCTTTTGGTTGTTGAAATTGCAGACAAATTCAATTATCATTGTCCTTGTCTTTTGGCTGTTGAAATTGCAGCCAAATTCAATGTAAATTACAATCAAATGTTCACCATGTAACACTTCATTCAGTATGCAAACTCCATTCATTACATTTAATATAAACTATTCAGTACATTCCATATAAACCATTCAAAATACCACAATTCAATACATCATACAAAACTCTATTCAAACTGTTTTCAGATAATATTACAACTAATTTCAACCCTATAACTATGTGCTTTATTCTTCAGCTCTTGAACTTCTTTCTTCAAACATGCAACATCCTCTTTAACTGCTTCAAGTTCTTGTTCTAAATCCGGATTCCCAGTCACAGGTTCATCAATCCATTCCCAATACTTACACTTCTTACCTGGTTTCTTTGAAATCAAATATAAAAATTGTAAGAACCTCAAAATCTTTATTTATTAGAAGGAAAATCAAAAGTACAGAGGGAAATCAAGATCGACATACCAAAGAATTGGGGCAAACTTTGAACTTTTTGTTAGGGTTGTCTTTAGTCTTGGATGTGCATATTCGAACTGGGAGTTGACAATCACATAGCTCCTCTTTCTTTGCGATGGAACCAGATGAACTGGGAGTCGACATCTTCTTCTTCGATTTTGGGTATGGGTTCGAATGTTTTTTGACTGAAGTTAGGGCTAGGCATCGTATTATAATCAACGGAACTAAGAGATGATCCACGTAGGAGTGTTTTCTTTTAATGAGTGTCCACATAGGCAGCCATGTCAGCAAATATGGAAGCAACCGGTAATAATGACTTAATTTATACACAATAACAAGTTCAAGAGTAAAATGTGGATAAAAAAAAAATCAGGGACTAAGTGTGTACAAAACCAATAATATGTTACCCTTTTAAGTTATTATCCCTTTTTTAAGTTAAAATATGAAAATCAAGGTTTTATACGTTAAAAAAGTACAGGACCTTCAATTTCACAAAGGTCATTGAGAATACCTATGCAAATTAAAAAAACATTGACAGCCTTTTAGTATTTTTGAAGGGGTTATGCCAGTTTCTCAGAACCCGTATGAAATTGATGGCTATTTCCGAAAAATATTATATTTCTAATTAAATTTTCTGGAAAAATGCATAGAATAATTTTATCAAAATTGTCTATTTCTTTAATAATTTAATAATTGTCGTTATTTAGTGAAAGTAGACACGGCGGCGGAGAAACACACAAAATCGAGTTAATCGACTAGCACTACCTCACAGCTTCTTCCTCTACCAGTCGTCGCGGCCCTTCTCTATACTACTCCCTCATCTTCATCTAATCGAGAGCGTTAACCTCTTTCAAGAACTCAAAATCACCACCTCATCAAGGTTAATTTAATCTTCCACTGTCGATATTTATCAATACACTTTGATCGATTCTAGTAAATATGGATTATGTATTAGATTGCTCGACTGTTTACATATGAATACGATTTCTTGATCGACATACTCAAATGTCATCGCAAGAGTTCCTGTTTTACTTTTTCTGTTCCATTAGAGCACTATTTGTTCTAAGAATTGTCCACCGTCATGGCACCTGTTAAAATGTCAATTGTCAAGGCGAAGGCTTCCTTCAATAGTGTTTAGTAATTTTATACTGGTCGAAATTGGAAATTTTAGCTTTTTGAAAATTGTAAATAAGTTCATTTCAATATTCAGTTTGTAAAATTGATTTAACTGTCAAAAATCAGATCGGGTTGCACCTGCAAATCCATGAAGCAGATATAGACAATGACGACATCTAAAGATGCTTTTATGGTGTTTTACTTTCATTAAAATTCATCACTTCTGAATGGTTCTAGTAGTATAAATTCATCTATATCCTCAAAGCTAAGTTTTTGTTGTATTGATATTATGTTTTATGATCTAGGATCCATGGGAAGTGTGAATGAAGGAAAGCTTAGGTTCTGTATAGACAGAGGAGGCACGTTCACTGATGTCTATGCTGAAATACCTGGTCAACCTGAAGGCAAAGCAATGAAGTTGTTATCTGTTGATCCATCTAACTATGAAGATGCTCCAGTTGAAGGAATCAGGAGGATTTTGGAAGAATTTACAGGGAATAAAATCCCCAGGACTTCAAAAGTCCCTACTGACAACATTGAGTGGATTCGAATGGGAACTACTGTTGCAACAAATGCACTTTTGGAGAGAAAAGGAGAAAGAATTGCATTGTGTGTGACCAATGGATTTAGGGATCTACTCCAAATTGGTAACCAGGCTCGCCCAAATATCTTTGATCTTACTGTTTCAAAACCTTCTAATCTATATGAAGAGGTTATAGAAGTTGATGAAAGAATCCAACTTGTTCTTGAGGATGAAAAAGAGTCTGGATCAAATGTAGTTACAGGTATTTCAGGTGAGCAGGTTAGAATCGTGAAGCCTGTTGATGAAGCAACTTTGAGGCCTTTACTTAATGGTCTTTTAGAAAAGGGAATCAATTGTTTAGCAGTTGTCTTGATGCATTCTTACACATACCCACATCATGAAATTGCTGTGAACAAATTAGCTGTAAGCATGGGATTCAAACATGTTTCTTTATCTTCTTCTTTGACTCCAATGGTTCGAGCTGTTCCTAGAGGTTTAACAGCTAGTGTAGATGCATACTTGACTCCAGTTATCAAAGAGTATTTATCAGGCTTCATTTCTAAATTCGATGATGATTTAGGAAAAGTGAATGTTCTCTTTATGCAATCAGATGGCGGTCTTGCACCGGAAAGTCGATTCTCTGGCCACAAAGCGGTTTTATCCGGTCCAGCTGGCGGTGTTGTTGGCTACTCTCAGACACTTTTTGGGCTTGAGACCAAAAAGCCCCTCATTGGATTTGACATGGGTGGGACCTCTACTGATGTGAGCAGATATGCAGGAAGCTATGAACAAGTTCTTGAAACACAGATAGCTGGAGCTATAATCCAAGCACCACAGCTCGACATCAACACAGTGGCGGCTGGTGGTGGTTCTAAGTTGAAGTTTCAGTTTGGAGCTTTCCGGGTCGGCCCAGAATCCGTGGGTGCACATCCGGGCCCCGTTTGTTATCGAAAAGGAGGTGAGCTGTCAGTTACAGATGCTAATCTTGTTTTAGGCTATGTAATCCCCGATTACTTCCCATCAATCTTTGGACCTAATGAAGATCAGCCTTTAGACATCAACAAAACCAGAGAAGAATTCGAAAAACTTGCAAAGAAAATTAATCTTTATAGAAAAAGTCAAGATCCATTATCAAAAGAAATGACAGTTGAAGAGATCGCACAAGGGTTTATTAATGTTGCTAATGAGACAATGTGTCGCCCAATTCGACAACTAACAGAAATGAAAGGACATGAAACGAAAAATCATGCTCTTGCTTGTTTTGGAGGTGCGGGCCCACAACACGCGTGTGCCATTGCACGTTCTTTAGGTATGAATGAAGTTTTAGTACATAAATTCTGTGGGATTTTGAGTGCATATGGAATGGGATTAGCAGATGTTATTGAAGAAGCACAAGAGCCGTATTCTGCAGCTTATAGTCATGAATCTGTTCTAGAAGCTTCACGTAGAGAAACTTTGTTGCTACAACAGGTGAAGCAGAAGCTTAAAGATCAAGGATTTGGAGAAAGTAGTATCACAACAGAATCTTACTTAAATTTGAGGTATGAAGGGACTGATACTGCTATAATGGTGAAAGGGAAGTCAGGAAGTGATTATGCTGTTGAATTTGTCAAACTCTTTCAGCAGGAATACGGATTTAAACTTGAAAACAGAAACATTCTGATATGTGATGTTAGGGTTCGTGGGATTGGAGTGACAAATATCTTAAAGCCACGAGCACAAGAAAATTCCATCACTACCCCTAAATCTCAAGGTGAATACAAGGTCTTTTTCGGAAATAAATGGCATAATACACCTCTGTTCAAGCTTGAAACTTTAGGATCTGGCCATGTCATTCCGGGTCCCGCAATTATCATGAATGGAAACAGCACTGTGATAGTTGAACCCAACTGCAAATCCATAATCACCAAATATGGAAACATAAAGATTGAGCTAGAGTCAACTTCGGTCAATGTCAAAGTATCTGAAAAAGTTGCTGATGTCGTCCAGCTGTCTATCTTTAACCATAGATTCATGGGTATAGCTGAACAGATGGGGCGTACGTTACAAAGAACTTCAATTTCAACAAATATAAAAGAAAGATTGGATTTTTCATGTGCCCTTTTTGCCCCTGATGGAGGTTTAGTTGCTAATGCACCTCATGTCCCTGTTCATTTAGGAGCCATGTCTAGCACTGTTCAATGGCAGTTAAAATATTGGGGAGAAAACTTACACGAAGGAGATGTTCTTGTTACAAATCATCCGTGTTCTGGTGGGAGTCATTTACCTGATATTACAGTTATAACCCCGGTTTTTGATGAAAAAGAGTTGGTTTTCTTTGTTGCTAGTCGAGGGCATCACGCGGAAATAGGCGGAATCACTCCCGGAAGTATGCCGCCTTTTTCAAAATCTATACACGAGGAAGGAGCTGCTATAAAAGCATTCAAACTAGTCGAAAAGGGAATCTTTCAAGAAGAAGGAATCACAAAGCTTCTTCAATTCCCGAGTTCGGAGGAATCATTGGGTTACAAGATTCCAGGGACTAGAAGGATTCAAGATAATTTATCGGATCTTCATGCACAAGTAGCAGCAAATCAAAGAGGAATTGTTCTTATCAAAGAGCTAATCGATCATTACGGGTTAAAAACAGTTCAAGCTTACATGGTTTACGTTCAATTAAACGCGGAAGAAGCCGTAAGAGAAATGCTAAAGTCAATTCCGGGGAAACTCCAATTCCATTCCGATGATTCCAATTCCACCGATTCAATCGTAATAAAAGAAGAAGATTACATGGACGACGGTTCTACAATCCGATTAAAACTCACAATCGATACGAAAAAAGGCGAAGCTTTTTTCGATTTTTCCGGAACTACCCCTGAAGTGTACGGGAACTGGAACTCTCCGGAAGCCGTGACAAAAGCTGCGGTTATTTACTGTCTTAGGTGTTTGGTAGACATCGATATTCCATTAAACCAAGGGTGTTTGGCTCCTGTGACAATCTTTATACCTTCCGGATCCTTTCTCTCTCCTAGTGATAAAGCTGCTGTTGTTGGAGGCAATGTTTTGACATCACAGAGGATTACAGATGTCGTTCTCATGGCGTTTCAAGCTTGCGCTTGTTCACAAGGCTGCATGAATAATTTGACTTTTGGTGATGACACTTTTGGGTATTATGAAACGATTGCGGGTGGAAGTGGGGCGGGGCCCACGTGGGAGGGGACGAGTGGGGTCCAGTGTCATATGACGAATACGAGGATGACGGATCCGGAGATATTTGAGCAGAGGTATCCGGTTGTTTTGCATAGGTTTGGGTTGAGAGAGGGGAGTGGTGGTGGTGGGGTGTGGAGAGGCGGTGATGGGGTGGTTAGGGAGATTGAGTTCAGGCGGGGGGTGGTGGTGAGTGTGCTGTCTGAGAGGCGGGTGCATGCGCCCAGGGGGTTGAAGGGCGGGATGGATGGGGCACGTGGGGTTAATTATCTTGTGAAGAAAGATAAACGGGTGGTGAATCTTGGAGGTAAAAATACGGTTGAGGTTGAAGCTGGTGAAATTCTTCAGATTTTTACTCCTGGTGGAGGTGGATGGGGTTCTGTTTGATTTCATATTATGGTTATTATGACGGAGAAGATGAATTCAAATTTAGTAATAAAGTTATGGCATTGTAGTTTTTTAAATGGATTCCCCCTTTCTTTAATGTTATTATGAACTTTTGATAGTCATTAAAATGACTATATGCTGTGAAGTCAAATGCATCAAGATGACCCATACTTTCATTTTCTATCACAAAATGATTATCAATTTCCATAAAAAATACTTTGTAAATTTGTATTGAAACATTTTCCAACAAAAACGAGTCTGTAAGGTCTTTGTGAGATGCTATATCTATGAATTCACTTTCTGTCATATTGACTCATCTACCATAAATATGGCTCGTCAACGATAGTAGAAACTAATTTATGACGTGTGGAGTCAATTACCATATTTATGGCTCACCAACATTATTAATTTCATGAATTTTGCATTTTAAATTCATAAATTGAACAATCTGAAAGACAAAATCTCTCTTTCTTATATCTATTTTTTTTTGTCATATTGTCATTCACCGGCGAATCTAGAATAGAATAGCATGCGGTTCCTAATTAAGTGAAGGCGGAAAAACTAAAGAGTCAACGCTATACATGAACCCACATGAACTTATGTTCTTATATGAACAAATATTCATAAATGAACATATGTTCGTATACAATGTATATGCTCTGTCTTTCCCTGTATGAATATATGTTCATTTATGAACATCACATTTTCTTTTTTCTTCTTCCAATTGTTTTCTCTATTTTCTCATCCACTCTTCTATAAAATATGAACTTATGTTCATTTATGAGCATACTTTTTAGATATGAACATATGTCTATATTAAATGTGAATATGTTTTGTTTATTATGTTTAGTGAATGTGAATTTGTTTCGGTCAACTTTTTTTTTCTTGTATTGTGAAATTGATATCAGTAATTAGTTTGTGTTTCATGGAAGGATCCTTTTATATTTGTGGGTTTATCTTAATAACAACATCATATTCAAAGCCCTAATATTATGTTTTTTAGTATGTAATTACATTGGTGTCAAGTTGTATCCTCTTGATCCTTTATACAACCACATTTAACCCTTTTTACAACCTTTCTTAACATTATTAAATCCCCCAAACCATACAAACATCACTCTTTCCTCCAATTTAGGCATTATACTTTCAACTATGGTCAATTCCATCATGAACTTCAACATACATACAAGTTCAAGTGTATCTATTTATAACCCTTACAAACCATCCGATAACATAATCTAACTTTTAATTGTGTTTAATTAGCAACAAAATATTCTCTCATCTTTAATACCATACTTGTCCCACATTTCTCATTAAAGTAATGTACTTCCACTAAAGCAACATGCCTATTTTGTCCACATACATGCACTTGCAACAACATATATGTAGATTATATTGGATTAAGGTGCCTAAGCTCATAATTAAAATTTGTATAAATTTGTAAATAGAAGCAAAATCCTTTTTGAGTTATCCTTATAACCAGAAATAACTAGAAATGGTATTAGGAGAGTGAGAGAGAAAAATAATTTGTTAATATATTATATGATTAATGTAGTAATTGGAAATAGATAATTGATATGTTAATTTGTTATGTGATTAATAAATTAACATGAGATCAATAGTTAAATAATTGATTTTTTAATTTATATGATTAATAAATTAATAAGAATTAATTAATTATTAATCAATAATTAATCAATAATTAATTTGGGATTAATTGCAATTAATTAAAGGTGCAAGGGGTGAATTATAATTGTTTAATAGTTGAATAAAAGAAACAATTCTAGAACCCTCCATGACATGGACGTAGGGCTGTAAACGAACCGAAGGAACACGAACAAAGGCTTGTTCATGTTCGTTCGTTTAAGTTAGCCGAACAATCGAACGAACACGAACGGATAAACGAACAAAATTTTCTTGTTCATGTTCGTTCGTTTAACAAATTGTCTTGTTCATGTTCGTTTGTTTATGTTCGTGAACATGCTAAACGAACATAAACGAACGAACATAAATGAACGAACATAAACGAACACAATTGAACATATATGAACATAAACGAACTATAATATAGTAATGTAATAAAAAAAACAATTGAAAATATATGAACATAAAAAAAACTTAAACGAACGAACATAAACGAACGTAAACTAACAACATAAACGAACGTTCACGAACGTAAATGAACGAACAAGACCATTGTTCATGTTCGTTCGTTTAACTAAACGAACGAGAATTTGTGTTCATGTTCGTTCATTTATTAAATAAACGAACATAAACGAACTTCCCGCCGAACAGTTCATGAACGGTTCGCCGAACGTTCAGTTCGTTTACAGCCCTACATGGACGGTTTTGGAGGGGTTCTTAGGGTTTCTGGAAGCTTCCTGGATGCAGATAAGGAAATGATTAGAATTGTGATCAAATCTATTATTCAATTAATTCAAATCCAGCTTTGTCTGCAAGTTACCTAAACTATAAATAGGATCCATTGGCTCATTATTTTCGTTCATGACATTCCTAAGAAGCATAGGAACGAAATTTCTACCTTTTTCCTCTCTCTCTCTCCTCATCATTCCAAGGTTTTGGATACAAACCATTAGAGACACTAAATTTTTGGTGCTTGTTTCTAAGGTTTTCAAGAGAGAAATTTGTTTGGTTATTTATTATAATGATCAAAAGGTATGTAAACCCTAACTCTATGTTTATTTCTATTATTATAGAGTTCCTTTAGGGTTCTTAATGTTCAAAGTTTATTGCTACCAATAGAGAAAACATAGATTCAAATAGGTTGCATGTGAACTTAAGAGTTAAGTAATTTTCCGCCTTATGCATAGATTTATAACCTATAAAACCCATTAGATTACTCATCAATACCATTCAAACCAAAAGCCTATAAAACTTGGTGCTACAATAAAGGTAAGCATGATCTATATAGTGTATGGTTTTGTGTAGTAGAATTTTGTCTAAAATAACACAAATCCCATATAGTTCACATTATGATACTAAAAAATAAAATCTTTATGAAAAACTTGTTTTAGTGTCATTATTGGGATCTACTAGTGATAGACCCATGTTGACCTTAAAGATCATATTTATGTGCATCCCATTAAGGTCGACATGGTTCTATCACTAGTAGATCTCAATAACAAGGACAATAGAACAAGTTTTCTCATGAAGATTTTATTTTTTGTATCTCAATGTGAACTATATGGGATTTGTGTCATAGTCATCAAAATTAAACTACACATAAAACCATAGACGATATAGATCATGCTTACCTCTATCGTAACACCAAGTTTTATAGACTCTTGGTTTGAATGTTGTTGACGAGTAATGTACATATATGTTGTTAGGTATGTGGACAAAATATATGTGTTGTTTTTAGAATTTTAATTCTATATCAACACAATGTCCTTTGTATGAGGTATGATAACTAATATCCTATAGGTTGATTAATTTTGTTTAACACACTCCTGTAATCATGTTTTTTTTGGTGGTTATTATCTTTTGTCTGTTGTACGTTTTGTTGTATCAATTTCAATATCCATACACAAGACACTACAATGGTAATTCCTACTTTGTTACAAAGTTAAAAATTAGGCCCGACAATTCTCAAGCGAGATGACTTTTGAAATACAACAAGTATATAAGGATTATGCCCGTGAATTCTCGACATGAACCCAACACGAAAATAAACAAATTTGGGTGAAGTTTTTCCGACCCACCAACCGATTTATTATATGGTCGTGTTCAGGTTTGCCCAAAAAAATTACGGGTTGACCCATGACCCGTTTATATTATTAGTTAAAAAAATTATATATTTATTAAATAAATAAAGGGGTTGGCTGAGACTCATGTGCCTGCCTTTGTATTGTAATCAATCGATCAACTCTTGCCCCTCACAGGCTTTCATCGCCTCATCGACCATTGCCCTAAAATCACAAAATACCCCAAATCGCAAGTCGCAACTCTAATTTCGTTGGTCGCCGGCTCTCCGCCACCAGCGACAGCAACCGTCGACCGACCACAGCTTCTCCTCCGTCGTGTTCAGTGGCTGTTCTTGGCTTCCTGCTGATCTATTAAGAATTTAAGGTACCTTGTACTATTTTTTTTCGAGCATTTCACAAATCACCATTACAACGTACAATTGTGTGTTTAATCTGTGTCATTATGTGTGTTGAATATGTGTATGTGTTCAATTTGTTCACTGTGTGTGTGTTCAATAAGTCAGCTGGGGATCTACACAACATTATAGGGGTTAAATTTTCCATAATCATAAACTCATACCCATTCTCATAAGTAATTCGGCATATATATAACTTAGTTAGAAATCATGCATTACAGAACCTAACGTTGAATAGTTGATTTGGTGATATCATATGACAGTTGTAATAGTTGTTTGGTTACTGTGTATAATCAGTAATCTGTGTCACTGTGTGTTCACAATGTTCAATATGTAATGTTAGCATGGCAGGTCTATAGGTATTTCACACCCCAGGCAAAGACACTTGATAATGCCCCTAAACCATATACAACATAGGTTCTTTAAACGAAAATGCTACGTATTTTTTTATTTGAAAAAATCTATATCTATGCAAATTAAAAGTTACGAACATTACCTAAAACGATGTCTTCATGAGGTTCTTTGAAGCAAACGCATCAATTTTTGCACTTTTCGATCTTCATAGAGAGAAACAGAGTCAAGATCTCTTTCCCTGAATCATCCATATCATTCCTTATTACAACAACCAAATGTATTGTTTTTTCTCAATTAAATTATTTACTCGTTACCCTTGTGAGCTTATTTAGGGCTTATTTGGTTGCTTTCATATGCTATTTTTCTTATTCATATCTATCGTAGTGTATCAATCAATACATGTGTGGCTGTGTAAGTGGTCAGGTTTTCTTCTCTAGCTATAGATACTAAAATATATTTATTTGGTTATGCAATTGGGATTTAGTTGATATTTGATATCTATATTTTCGAATGGCTTACATTTAATTTGGAGGGATGTATTTTCATGTGGTTTCAATCCTAAATTAGAGGAAACAAAGCTTACCAAAAATGTTATGGTATGTGTTATTTGAACATGTAGATTTGATTGACCCTTGGAAATTATCCAAACATTTATCTTTAGACATGTGACTTTCCCTTTTCCTAGTAGAATGCAAATCGAAATTTCAATATCCATCCAAACAGAAAGAAAAATCTAGAATAGGAATAGGAAAGTAAAATACACACAAATTTCAATATCCTACTTGTTACCCCCCAAAATCAAATTTAAATTATTGTATGGAACTGTTAGCTTACATTTCACCAGTTTTAGTCCATATTTTTTCCATTGCACCTGTGTTTACCAAAGTTTTGATTCCAGAATGATGATGTATTGTGCTTTTATATTGCATTATTAGTTTCCAATAAGAGCCTTTACTTGCATTTCACTCCAGGAATTTGTTTGTGGCATTTTATAGGGCATCAAGAACATGAATGAATGCTAATGTATATGTAGTTTGTATGAATTAGATCTTGCATCGAGATTCAACTGGACATTGAAGGAGGCATTTCACTACAAGTTTACAGGTCTGAAGGTCATGAAAACACCAACATTCCCTTGACAAGAATACACAAAAATGGAGTCACAAATTCCCTTTGACAAAGAGGCTTCCACTTCCACACAACAACATGATGATGTATTCATTAAAGACGTAATCACATCTGAAACAAACCATGTTGCTTCTAGTCAGCCAGGTATACTAAGAAAGGGAATAGTTATATTTTTCTTATCTTATCAAGTTGCCTTTGTTATTTTATTTGTATACACATTTTATTTAATAATTTTTAATATAGTGAAAAAAGCAACACGACAATGGGCAGCTTGGACACGTCAGGAAGAGGAAAGCTTCTTTACTGCACTACGCCAAGTTGGCAAGGCAAGCAACAAGTTTTCTCTTCTCCATTATTATGTTTATATTTATATGCATGTATCATTTGATTTCTTTTAAAAAGGAAGTAATTTTTACCAATATTTGTTGCAGAATTTTGAGAAGATAACTTCTCGTGTCCAAAGTAAAAACAAGGATCAAGTTAGACATTATTATTATCGTCTTGTAAGGCGTATGAACAAGTTACTGGGACCCGAACTTTCTCTTGATGCCAAAAACTCTAAGGATACTAATGCTGCTATGCTTCGATGGTATACTACAATATAACAATATTCGTGATTCATCTCTTATTAATTATAAAAGATAAAACGTCTTTGTTTTGCTTTTGACAGGTGGTCGTTACTTGAAAAACATAGCTGTAAAGCCTCAAAACTTCACTTAAAGCCTCGAAGGTTTAAGATGTTCTTGGAGACATTGGTTAGTTAATTCTCTATACGTTTATATTTACTTATATATATATATATATATATATATATATCATGTTTAATTTTGCATTTTATTTTTTCCATGAAGGAGCACCAACTACTGAAAGACAGAAAGAAGAATATAAGAAAACGATCTACAACAACACAAGGAGGAAACGGTTCACATCCTGTTAAACCACCAAGACAGCGCCGTAGATCAGGTAAAATCTTATCTTCGCAGTTTCTCATCAAGGGTATTTTAGTCATTCATTAATGTTTTGTTTCTACTTTCTAATTATATTAAAGGTACTGCCCCCACCACCACAGATGCGTATAAGAAATGGGAGAAGGCTGCAATAGCTGGTGTTTCTTTAGTTGCTGATGCTGCTGAACATTTGGAAAGGACAGCCTTGGATAAATTAGCTGATACTGTACAGGATTTACAGGGTGGTGAGTTGACCAAATAATAAACTCACACTTTAGTTTCCTGTAATTTTAAATATTTAATCTTGGCTTTCAGGAGACAAAGGTTCGGATCCTATTCCCAAAACCAAAAGTATCATCCCCCCTGTGCCAATTTTTCATCAAAACATCTTGTCTTCAATGAAACTTAAACTTCAACTCTTCCCTGTTGATGAAACTACACGAAGAGCCTTGGAAATGGTAAGAAACAATAATAAATTATGTACTTTAACTTTATCTGTATAATAAAATAATAATAATAATATTTTTTTTTGTTAGGACAATCACAACCCGCATTTGGAGCTGACTCTAAGTACACGAAAGAAAATATCATCGGTTTTGGAACATATGACACGTAAATGGGGTAGCTCTACTGTAGCAGCATCTGGAGAATTAAAACTGGTGCCTTATGATGTTCAAACATCAAATCTTTCCAATTCTCAGAAATGGAATCAGGATTCCGCTTTAACTGCTGGAGATGTATACGCCCTAATCGGAAGCCCTCCGGTTTTCCGTTTAAGGTTTCTCTCTCTCTCTCTCTCTCTCTCTCTCTCTCTCTTTAATTTTTCATTTCTTTTTAACAACAATTTCTACAACATTCTAAGAAAAATTATTGATCATGGTTTTTGTGTTTTTTAAGGTATGGTTGGTTTGGTAAGGGTGAAGAAAGTAACAATGTTAACAATGGTATTGGTGGAAGTGTGGGAATGGGATTGTCTACATTGGAATGGGTTGATAGTCTTACTAACATAAGTGTAGGTGATCTGCTCTCTGAGGTATCTCATAATGCAGTGGGTCCCACTCCATGTCATCAGCAGATTTCATACAGCTGTGATTCTTTTGATGCTGCAATTGCTGCCCACATTAACAAAAATCATGATGCCAAAAATAATGGATTCCATTGCACCGCCATTCAATCTTCAATTTATGATGCAGAGGAAACATGTGATGCCTTTTCCTTCCCTAAGAATAATACTGAGAAACCACAGATGATTCCATCAGCCTCTCTCAATCAGGTAAACTAAAACTTATCATCATTTTCTTTTCACCACTCACCATTTCTTTTTATATTTATTTTTTTGTGTGTCGATAGAAATCACGTGAACCAGAGGAGCCGAAAGAATGTGAGTTTGATGAAAATCATATTCCTCCCCCAAAGGATCTCACCTCACTTACTGATATGTATTGGGTATGTATTGTTGTATTGTCTTAAATGTTAGTTATCTTTTAGTCAGAAATAATGGATTTTAATTAATTGCAGCCGGAGTCTTTAGGAGCATTAGATTTGGATGTAGCATCGTGTAGATATCATGACACTGGTGATGTTATTTTAAGTGATAGTCTTGGACTTGGTGGATTGAATTGCAGCCTTGATGCTTTTCAAAGCTGTTCTTTTTTTGGGCTCGAGAAGAAAGACACCACCACATTAACAACTCTAGGACCTCCTGCTTCTTCCTCACATGGGGAGGTTTGACTTCTGTTGACTTTTTACTGTTAATATAATATCCCATCATCTCACTTTTAACCTTTTGCTTACTAAAACCCAACACAAGTTTTTTAATCATAGGAGACTTTGTTAATGTTGTACAAAAGTAACTGTTAATTCCAGGGGTTTCATGCTCTACATATTTGACCCTAGCATCTTTCATAATTTGTCAAGTTGTATTTACACACAGTTTTTTTTTTTTTTTTTTTTTTTTTTTGTTCCGGATCATAGAATGTCTTCTTTCTTATCAAACATGATGTTATTTTGGTTGTAATGTAATGCACTCAGTTCAAACATGTTGAAAATCTCAATCCAACCCAACATGTTTAAGTAAACGAGTTGAGATTTTCCAACCCAACCCCAACTTTTTTTTTCTTCAAATTCAACATGTTTAATAAACGGGTTAAATATAGGTTAATCCATTTAAATTTCCAAAAAACATTAAAAATCCAAAAGTCGTTCAAAACTTAAAACTCGAATAATCATTTATGTTTGAAAATAGTACAACTGTAATACAAACACAATTTAAGTGTTCGCAAAACATTATAAATGTTTAATTTTTAAATTCTATGTAGCTTGACTATCATTTTCAGCTTTGATCATATTACACCCTTTTTATCGGGTTTGAGATTGGCTGAGTTTCAATTACCTAATACGATTTTGTGATTATTATGTTCAAGGTTATTTATAAGATGGAAGAGCATCTATAATAGCGATTAGGACTATGTGAGACAGTGAGAGTAACAAAGTAGATGACTAACTAACTAAGATTGTGTGCAATTAGGGTTGGTATGCAACTGTATTATCTATATTTTTATTCTATTTTCAAAGCTTTTAATTATAAAAATAGTGATTACATAGTAATACTTAATAAATATAAATTAAAAACATTAAGAGTTTTAAAGTGCTTACGAATTGAAATCATATTGAACCTAAATCAACCTATTTAGTTAAATTGAAGTTAATCCATTCAATTAAACAAATTAAACGGATTAAAAATCTATTTTTGATTATTCGATTCGATGGGATTGTCAGGTGGGATTGCCAACCCTAAGTAAGACATGTGTTATGTTCGTCTCTTTCACCAACATAATTTAAATAGTGTTATATTTCTGTTTTCGTTTTTTTTACCCAAACTAAAGCAGTACAAAAATTTCACCTCTACGACTTCACTTCAATGAATCACAGATTCCTTCGACACATCTACATCTATAGAATCAACAAACATGTCGTACTACCATGCACCAAAAGAAGATTCGTAAAGTTTCCCCTTCTTCTTTGACCTCATAATCGTCGTTCCCCTTTTTACATCTTCTCTAGCTTCACTCACCTCTCATTTAAAACTTTCTTGTACAACCTATGTCGTTATCATGAAATGGATACAGAGCTTGATGTGAATCCGTTAATGTAAGATTCAGATCCACGGTAATTCCAGCTCCAATGGCGTATATTTAAGTTATTGTCGTTAAAAAGCTTGTAGGTGGACTTTGGGTTGGGTCGATGGGTCTATTTAGGTGTGCATTGGTTTCCTCGTCCCTTCTATTAGCGATGCGCTTCTAACCTTAATTGGTCTGGTTGTGCCTTCGATATTGTTACTTTGAAGAAATTAGAGCGCTCAGAGTAAGCCTACACTCTGTATGTGGGACGCCGCCTAGTTCCCTTGATCGTTTGGCTTTCTTGGGGTCGTTCATCAGTATGTGTGTGGGAAGAAAACGCCTTGTTTCCTTAAATGTTTGGCTTATATAGGCCTGTCAGTGGGACGAGCCTTGTTCCTTAGATCGTTAGGCTTGGCTTGGTTCGTTCATAGATTTGTGAAGAAGCCTTGTTCCCTTGATTGTTCATGGGTCGGTGTGTGGGACGATGACTTGTTCCCTTGAATGTTTTTCTTACATGGGTGGGCGTTCACTGATCTGTGTGTGGGACGACGCCTAGTTCCCTTGACTGTTTGGTTTTCCATGACAAAACCTGGCCAACCTCGCATGCATTGGTTGTCAAGTACCCATGTTCCCTTGAACATTTGGCTTGCATGAGGGTCGTTCACTGGTTTGTGTATGAGACGACACCTAGTTCCCATGATTGTTTGGCTTGCCATTACCAAGCCTTGCCAACTTCGCATGCCCTGTCGTTAAGTACCCATGTTCCCTTGAACGTTTGGCTTGCATGGAGTTCATTAACTGGTTTATGCTAGGACGACGCCTAGTTCCTTTGACCGCATGGCCAAGCTTTGCCAACCTCGTTTGCCTTGGTCGTCAAATACCCTTGTCGAGCACCAATGGGTGGTGGTCCCTATGGTGCCCCTATATACATATTGCACAAAGAGCGTGGTGACATGAATATGAGTTAATTTCCATGAGGATGCATAACACCCAAAACTAAGCCACCACGTTGGGCCGTTTCCCATAGCCTATTATTTTACTAAGTGTATGGAGACAACCTCTTGTCAATATACATGGAAATGAAATTAAGTGGCTTGTTTTAAGGGGGAGAGCGAGTGAAGAATTTGAGTGATGCAGAGTGGATCTTGGCAGCAAGGTCACTCTGTGACTTACAATAGTTCATCGCGTATTTAAGCCGTCTACAAATGATTTTACCATCTGCTTGATGAAAATTATACTTCATGGCAGCCTACACGACTCATTTGTCGCATATGCTTGGCCACGACATGTGTCTTTGACGGCCGAGGCCCCTACTGTTGGTCGACAAACAGGCGGCGGGCACACGCTTCGCTTCTATCCCGAATTCTGACTTAAAGACGTCCGATCATAATCTAGTTCATGGTTGTTTCACGTCACTGACTTTTCAACCAAGTGTGATGACCTGTTGTGTGAATCAAGGGTTTCTTTGGTACTAGGTTGAATTACTATTATGACATTTTCATCAGAATGGTAAAATAAAACTATCTCACGACCGTCTAAACCTAACTCATGTTCCCTATAGGTGGATGAACAATCTAACATTCGGTGAATTCTGATTCACCAAGCGCACGTTCCGTATTAGGGGTTCTATTTTAATTTGATTGTGATGTTGTAGTAATAAAGTCACAACATTTGTAGTTAAATGAATTTCTTTGATGTTATTATGAACTTTTGATAGATGGACAATTTCACATCCAAAGGAAACATATTTTATAAATTTACATATCATTCATATTGGATATCACCATTTTTTTGTCAATTTTCTCATAATTGCTAGTTTTTATTAATCTTAATTTATACTTTTTGTTTCACTAATTTCAATCCAAAGAATGTCACGTTACAATGGTTATATATCATTTGGTGGCCTTCCTTTGTAAATTATACTATATATTAAACCAAAAGTTCTTAGCAATAGTAAAGTTTATGGACTTCACAATTTTACCACCGTATTTTCCTTTTTACACTTTTGTCACAACATATACTTTGTCTTTATACACTTTGCCACCATACTTACACTTTTGCCACAATATATACTTTTGGCTTTTACACTTTTGCCATAATAGTTTTTTATATTGGCATTTTTGGTATCTATATAGAAAATAAATTACAAAAACTATCCTTATAATTTATAGAGAAGGTCATGTTCATTTTTTTACCTTTGAATTTTTCGACTTTGACCACAATACTTTTATATGTTGGTAGGTTTAGTCCCTATGTAGAAAATCAATTACAAAAATTGTCTATGTAATTTACATAAAAAGGTCTATGGTCAGTGCCTAATAGAAATTATATATGTAATCGGACATAGATAGATTACTGACGTGCTTCCCCGCGAAGAGGGATAAAGGGCAATTTCTAATTTCTTATTATTTCCAATTATTACGAATTAAGAAAGAAATTATGTATTATTTAATTTATATTTATTAAAATGTAAATATATAATTTATCAGGAATATTATTACCTACACAAATATACCACACCCCACCGGCTCTTGCAAATCCATTTGAAAGGCCACTAATTACATCTTTAAAAACTTGAAAGAAGTGCAAACATATTAATAAATTGTTTACCCCTCGTTCAAAAATAACAATAATAATAGATTGTTTTTTACTTTTAACTTTATTCTACTATTCAATTTACTTTAATATATCTACTTCTATATAATATATTTATATAATAAACATCATTTATTTATGTGTTTAAAATCGATTGTTTTATATATTATAACCAATATTAGCATAACATAAGAAACTTTCTCAACGTTTCTTTCTTTAATTAAATTAAAATAAAATTTTAATATTATCGAATAATTACTTATTATTAATAATAAATAATGTTTTACAAAAGTTGTTGTTGATATGGCAGTGAGATCATTTTTGAAAGACGATTGTTATTGCGCTGATGTAGAATTAATTGCAAACGCTGATGTGGCACAATCGAAATATAATTAAGATTGCACTAATGTGAATGATCTAACACTGCGTTGTATAAGAGGGAGGTGTAATGATTATATGATGAAGTCAAATGCATCAAGATGACCATACTTTCGTCTTCTATCACAAAATGACCATCAACTTCGCTAAAAATGTCTTGTAAATTCGTAATGAAATATTTTCTAACAAAAGCCTGTCCGTAAGATCATTACGAGATGTTATATCTATAAATTCACTTTATGTCAACTCAACTACCATATTTATGGCTTGCGAACGACGAGATAAACTAATTTGCGAGAGGCTGACCCAACTACAACCATTATAAATTTCATGAAATGTGCATTATTAATTTAACAAAATTATCTAAATTTCTTCCTTTTCTGACATATTTTCATTTTAGTACTTTTAATTTAGATAGTTCCACCACAAGGAGGAAAATTGTTGACATCAAAGATCCTCTATAACCTTTGGTACAAGCATCATGCACTTCTGCTATTTATAGACATTCTTTTGCATCGTTATAGTTTTCATAAAGGGATAATGACTTAAAATGGTAATATATTTTTTGATTTGTACACATTTGGTCATTAATTTTTTTTCGTCCACATTTACCGCTTTAACTTGTTAAACTGTACACATTCAGTCCTTGTGACCGGTTACTCCAGGTTAGCCGGGAAAAATGACTTAATAGGGTAATATATTTCTCATTTTATATACATTTAGTCATTAATATTTTTGTACACATTTAGTCCTTAATATTTTTTTGTTTTAAAATAAGTCATTTTTGTTTTTGTATTCATTCAGTACTTATGAATGATATTTTTAGGTTTTTCTCACGACATCTTACGTAGAACAATCATTGATGAGGTGTTTGGGGCTATTGATGCTTACGTCGATCGCGATCTCGACTGTTTGGTTGCGTATGTTTTGTAGTTTGACTTAGGGCTTATGTTCTAAACGTCGTAATTTCTTCAGATGATATCAGATTTTAATGATCTTTATATCCATGTGTTCGTTTTTTGAGTCTATTACAACTTTCGTTAAGATTACTCCCGTTAAAATGTAATATATTTTTACTTACAATTTTATAAATAAAAAAAAACATTCATACATGCATTAATAAAAAAACATATGGATATAAAGATCGTAAATAAAAATATATTACTTTTTAACGGGAGTAATCTAAACGAAAGTTGTAGTTGACTAAAATATGAACGCATGGATATAAAGATCGTTAAAATCCGAGATCGTATGAAGAAATTATGACGTTCAGAACACATGACCTAAGCAACCGAGTAGTCGAGATCGCGATCGACATAAGAATCGATAGCCCCAAACACCTCATCAATGATTATCCTACGTAAGATGTCGTGAAAAAAAAACCTAAAAATATCATTCATAAGTACTGAATGAGTACAAAAACAAAAAAGACTTATTTTGAAACAAAAATATTAAATATTAAATATGTACAAAAATATTAAGGATTAAATATATACAAATGAGAAATATATTACCCTATTAAGTGTTAAATATGTACAAAAATATTAACCACTTGGGTTGTGGTGACTTGGTAAGACATGTGGAAGATATGGTGGATAAACTATTGAAATATGGTGGATAACCTATTGACTTGGTAAGGCATGTGAAATATATTACAAAAATATTAAGTATTAAATATGTACAAAAATATTAACCACTTGGGTTGTGGTGACTTGGTAAGACATGTGGAAGATATGGTTGATAACCTATTGACCCATGTTCAAATCATGGCACTACTCAGCCCTTGTGGTCATGGAAGTTCGTCTGCAGTGACTCCAAGGCATGAGGCAAAGTCTCATGTTTGCAGCGGGGGATTAGTCGGTGCGCGAAAGCTGGCCAGGAAACCCTCGTTAGGGAAGTTCCCTTTCCAAAAAAAAAATTAAGTCATTTTTCTCAGCTAACATGGAATAACCAGTCACAAGGACTGAATGTATATAGTTTAACAAGTTGAAAGTAAATATGGATGAAAAAAAACTTAGTGACCAAACGTGGACAAATTAAAAAATATATTACTCTTTTAATTCATTACCCCTTTTCATAAATTATTCAGATTTCTCCATTTTCTCAATATTACATTAAGGTATCTTCGTGAGTTGGTTATTTGACTTTGTTTGCACATTCAGTAAAAAACAAACAAGACTAAAATTGACGGAATAAAAGATTAAATGAAAATCCGTGAAGCATGTATTAGTAATGTTAATCATATAATTATGCAAAAAGAGAAAAATAAAACTTGTAAACCATGTAACAATATTTCGTGAACTTTTTTGTCAATTCGTGAATGCCTATCAATTACCAAGTTAAAGATGTATACATATTAAATAAAATAAAAAATCATTTTTTTAATTCTATGTTCATTCAGTTGGTTTTTTACCTAAGATATAAAATATGAATTTGTGCTTAAAAGATATTTATGCCATGGCTTTCTTGATAGATAAACGAAAAATTCGAGAAACAATCAACAATGGCATTCCTCACTCATTTCCCTGTTGCTCCGATTCATCATCACTCGTCTTCTCTCTTCACCCGATTCTTCCTTTCTCCTAAACCCAAAACCCTCTTAATTTTCGCTACACTCTCTCCGTCTCACTTCTCGTCAACATCCACAATAATACCCTCTCCTTCTTCTTCTCTCGAAACCTTTCAAGAAATTTCACTTCCAGAAGAAACCCCCTTACAGATTGCCCAAGAGAAGCTTTTTATTCCTCCAGACACCGAAATATCTTCCGAAAAACCTCCCAGAATCTTGAGAGGTTCCAACATTGTCCTCAGCAAATACGCTAGAGATGCTCAAATAGTTTCAGCCGAATTCGTGAAGAGCAGTGTTGAAACAGACGCGTGTCCGTCTGATGGGTCGCCGGAGTTTGCTCTTGTTGGGCGTTCTAATGTTGGGAAATCATCTTTGCTTAATTCTATTGTTAGGAGGAAGAAGCTCGCGCTTACTTCAAAGAAGCCAGGTGAGCATACCATGTGTTTGATTTTATGTCTCTGAGAGTGAAAAAACAAGCAAATTACAATTTATACCCGAATGATTCATCAATCGTCTTTTTAGGAATATAGTAGTACTAGTTTGTTGTCTTCCTCCTCCTGTCGGATCAACTTCAGTTATTAGGGTCTGATCCATTGCCCTTCTGATACCTTCATGGCCATTTCCACTAAGTTAAACACTAAGAAGAAGAATTGCATCTTGTTTTCATGTGCTTTTCATTTGTTTTGCAGGGAAAACACAATGCATCAACCACTTTCGAATTAATGACAGTTGGTACTTGGTGGATTTGCCTGGATACGGGTAAGAGTTTTATTAGTAACATCTAAATGTAATTATCCTGCAAAAATATAGTCATTTTTTGTTGTATTTCAGCTTATCAATGATGATAAAGTAGCTTGACATGAAACTGAAACTGAAATTGATTATTGTTTTTACAGATATGCATCTGCACCACATGAACTTAAACAAGATTGGAACAAGTTCACAAAAGACTATTTTTTAAACCGGTCAACACTGGTGTCAGTCTTCCTTCTCATTGATGCCAGCATTCCTGCCAAAAAGATTGACCTAGAATATGCAAGTTGGCTGGGTCAGAATCAGGTACATCATTAAAACATGTCATAAGATAATCACTCGTCTTTCTTCTTATTAACACGCTTTTGTTAATTTGTTTAAGGTGCCAATGACAATAGTATTTACAAAATGTGACAAGAGGAAAAAGAAAAAGAATGGTGGAAAGCATCCGGAAGAAAACGTGCAAGATTTTCAAGACTTGATTAGCAAATACTTTGATGCAGTGCCACCTTGGATTATGACCAGCAGTCTTACAAATCAAGGTCGGGATGAGATTTTGTTGCACATGTCTCAGCTTAGAAACTACTGGCTCAATCATTAGATTACATGTTTTTTTTCTTCATTATTTACTTGTTGCTTTGGTTTACAAATTTAGACTTTAATGATATTATCCATTTGCATTATTCAAGTTTCTCCAAGTAAATACAATATCCAGGGTAAGCAATTCCCACAACAATCCAAAGATATCGTATAGCAAAACATATTAATTTTCATAGCTTAACAAGAGCTTCATTCCAATCAAAACACCCTTTGATTTGTTTAGAAAAACAAACTAATTTAACTTAACCAAATGCAATCCCATTTTTGTTTCCCATTAAACCAAAAATTCATAATTTCTATCTATAACTATAGTGTTAAATGTTTGTTATTGTAATAACATTTTTATTTCTTAATTGTTACTACAATAAACTTGTTTTATTTTTTTAATAAAATATGTACCACAAATTTTTACAATGCAACAACATATCCAGGGAATCTCGTTGAAACGGGATAAAGGAGGTAGATGTCAGCGATTTGCTTCACAACTGGTTACCAACATTTTAATTCTAATTTGGGAATTGTTGGTCAACTTTAATTTTAGGGATAATCAGAAAAATGACCATTTAAAATACAAGTTTATTTCCTTATAATCAAACCATTTGCAAAATTGATCAATATGCCCAAAATGAGTATATTCCGCACATGTTTTGGCTCTTAGTCTATAGTAGAAACTAAATGATTCAAACGTCTTAATGATTCATTGCTGTTTGAAAAGATTGTTGAACTTTTGAATGAGAAAAATAAATAAATTATTTTAACTTTAAAACAAAACCGACTTTAAAGAACACCAGATTGTAACTGAATTCTCAAAAATCTTTCAAAACGAAGATTCACCAAGAACACAGGATCATAAGCAATTAACTTAGTGACAGAAAAAGGTTAAAATAAACTTTTTTTTTGTTGCTTTGCCACGTAGGAAAAAAATTCCCCAAAGTTACTGACTAAGGAGTTCATACATATAATACAAACAACCAAACATCAAAATGAGATCAAACACACGTAAAAATTTAACTAAACCATACCAAATTTTCACCTACATTTCCTGTAATAATGTTGCGACTTTTGTGAATATCTCTCGACTTTAATTTGAAAACAGATTACAGAAACCAGCATTTCAACAATATGAAGTTACAACGTTCTAAAGATTAAAGGCTTAAAAACATAGAGTGCACAATGAAGCAAGAATCAAATAGAAAGTAGCTGCTTTCTTTTCCATATCAAAAGTAAAATCTCATAAGCAAACAAACATATCATCAAAATCCAAAACTTGTTCCGATACTAAAATACATGAAAATCTTCATTTGAACCTAAGCACTGGCAACAGCTCCCTTGCTCCTTGGGGTTGCTTGAGTCCCTGTTTAACCAACATCATTCATAAAAACAAAATCAATATCCAAAAACAGATCAAATTACAAATCTTTATGGCATAACAAGTTTTTACCTTCTCTAAAGTTGCTCTTGAACCTACGTGGAACATTACGAAGGTACCTCATCCTTCCAGTTCCTGTTGTCTTCCTTCTGATTGCCTTCACACTCCAGTTGTCTGTATCCAATAAGACATATGTGAATCAATCAAGACTTCTACTTTTCAAGATTACACTCCAATTTGAAAGTGGGTGTGTCTTATTTACTTCACACCAAGATAAATAAGCCAATATGAGGAAAAAATAGGAAACAAGAGAACAATCATATCAAAACTAGGGATTGATTTGCATCACTGTGCAATGGATTTTTGTTTGGTGATGCCATCAAGAGTTTAGTGAGTGAGGAATCAAAAAAACTAATACGATTTGTGCAAGTTATAATGGAGAAATATCTACTTGCTAATTTTGCGAATACAATTTAGCATCAACTAGAACCAACGCGATAACGAAAAAAAGTCAAAACCAAGATAAAGACGATAGCAGTGATGCTTCCATGTTGATCATACGAGTTCAAATAAACAACAGATCAAAATCGAAACGCAAACAGATTTCATTAACAAAGTTTTAAACAAAATTTATAGTTGATCCACGGATTGATGAGAATACATGTTCTTAAAATCCAAAGAAACAATAACTGTAGATCGGAGAAAGCAAACTATATGGTATATACATTTAAAGGTTCGATAGACTTACATTTTCTGACGCGGGCAGCAGGATAGGCACAGGCAGAGCAGCGGCTCTTTTGAAGGTGAAAGCTGCGGCGGCCGCACCTCACACACAATGTGTGTGTCTTGTTCCTCCTCTTTCCGAAACTCCCGGTTCCCTTACCCTTCAATTAGTAATTCCAAAACAAAAACCACGAAAATCAGTACTGAAAATCGAACGATTTCAAATTAGATGTAATCAGAAGATCTGTAAAGAAATGAGGGTTCTACCATGTCTCGAAATGAAGATGACCAAAACCCTAGCGGTAGCTGATCTCACAAATAAGAAAAGAAGACGACTGAAAACATTTATGGCTCTTATACGATGCGGTGGAACTAGTCTAGGGTTTCCTTGTCGTGGTTTAAAAGGCCAATAAGATTTTTGGGCTGCTTCTTGTTTGTTCATGTTTATATTGGGCTATTTTATTATTCTCAATTTCTCGTGTCACTCAATTTATTTATTTATTTTTGTAACTATGATGAGGTACATAAAAAAAAAAAAAAAAACAGATTTGGTTTTGAAACCGGTTTGAGATCCAAACCAATTTAGAAACTGGTTTGGATCAAATCGGATTAGAATCTGGTTTTCAAACTTACAAAAAAATCGACAAAAACAAAAATTGTTTCCATTCATTGTTTCATTTACTATTTGCCATATGCTAAAAATATTGCAAACAATATTTTAGTAGCTACTCGTAGAAGCATAGAGATAGACCTGAAAAAACCCGTTTTTTTATTCCAAACCGGTTCGGTTCAAGCCAAAGAAGTTAACACCGGTTCAAGGCTAAACCGGTTCTTCAATAACAATATACGAAACTTTGCAAACCGGTTCGATTCGGTCGAAACTGGTTAAAAAAACGATGCATTCGCCTATTCTTCATTTGGCTTTTGTTTTTGGTTAGTTTGGATACTAGATGTAGTGTGTTTTGTTTATTTACTTCAAACTGATCCATTCATAATTTTAAAAAGAAAAGAAAAAAAACAGTAGGCATATATGCAATGGACTATTCCAGACTTTAGTTGTTTCATAATTCCACAATGTAGTATCATTCGTCATTGTTTGATTATGCCCGAGCCCAAATTTCACCGATGGGCATATCTTGTTCATATGAGTTTTCAATGTTGAATTCCGTTTTTTTTTAAAAGCACTACATTTCTTACATCACGCTTTATTTGGACCGCTCGATATTATGCATAAATCATAGTTGCACCAAATCTTCGGGTTTTCAATTGTTTCTTTGGGCAATCAAGATCGTTTAGGGGGTTCAAAGCGGTATTTTTCAACTTTGAGTTTTTATAAAAGTATTTTTTGGGCATCCGGGAAAGTACAAAGGGTGAAAACTGGTCTTGAGAAACCTACAAAAACATTGTATAAACAACAAATTGAAGAAATAATGTATGAAAACAATATATTTTTACTTTATGGAAATCAGTTTTTTTATAAGTTTGAAAACTGGTTTCTAAACCAATTTTTTTAAATTCGTTTCACCTAAATTAGTTTCAAGTATAAAATTCTCAAACTGGTCCAAACCAGCTCATACGTTTCAAACAGATCCGGTTTCACCCAAACTGATTTTATTTTTTAGATGGGTTTCGTTTTCAAACCAGCTTCAGATCAAGAACCAACTTTTTTCTCACCTCTACCTTACATGTTGGCCTTTATCATAATATCTTCTTTAGGGAAGTCATGATCGATTTGAGTTATGTTTTATTACTTATGGTTCAAACGAGTAAAGAAAAAATAGATAAAAAGAAACATGTCAAACAAGTTGAAAGTCATTGAAATTTATTTTAACACTTACAACATTTGAAATAACTTTTTATTAAAAAATCTATTTATAATAATAATATAATTTCTATAAGGATTAATGTTGCAGAATGATCATCGATAACTCTCAATTTACTTATTAAGTCACTCATCTTTTAAGTTATACTCAACAGGGAAATAAAGTTTTTCTCTATGTTTCATTAGGGTGTAGGGAGTTGTTCCCGCCAAATCGGTTAAAGTCGTTGAAGTCATCGGACCCATGGTAGATGTATTGGATTTCCCGTTGAACCTGCCCAAGTCGGCTCCCTCCCAACGTGTCTTTATTATTTCTTTCTTTTCTTCAAACCTCAAGCAGTTTGTTGAACCCACAAGAGACACCCTTTTCCAGTACCGGTAAGGTGGGGTGGTGTATACATCGGTACCGGAGTGCCACCTCAGCCAACCCATCTCCATCCCCTCGCTCGACTCCTTTCACCCTTACACCATTAAAGTGGATTTCAACCTGGTAAAATGGTATTCAATACCTTATGTGGCATTAACCGTGACATCTAATGTTATATATTGTGTTCCTTTATGTTCACATAGCCGTTAGGCCCGGCCAGATGGTGGGCGATAGGAACGACCGCCTAGGGTCCATCATTCCAAGGGGCCTAAAACTTTTATGAGCTATGTAATATTAATATATATTCATTAGTCTATTTTAAGAAATAATTATATAAGTTACAAGAAGCATAAAGAGGACAAATTCAAAGGCCTAAATTTTGTATGTTACTTAAGCAGGAAGAAGCAATATCATACGAATCAGTGTTCATAAAGAAGGTGGGTAGGTGCAATCAAAATGTGGAAAATCGAATCGACGAATTGTAAACTCATTGCTTATGAAGCAATCAAGTAACGATAGAATTGATTAATCAATTATTTCTTCTTAATTCCTAAGTTTCAAATGTTAGAGTCTCGTTGCATATAGAATCGTATTAACCATTCGTGTCACTATAGCATTCGTATAGAAGTTTTTCAAAATTAAAGTTATCAAAGATTACGTCATCGATATCATACGAAATGTTGAATGATTTGACTACTTTATGTATGGATAAAGATATCTCGAACAAGATTGATCTTGATACTATTTTTTTCAGAACGA